AAGCACCTCCTTAAAGTGGGGCATGGAGCTTAGCACATCTGTCTGCTGAACAGAAAACTTCCCACAGTGATCTGGGTAAGAGTCCACAACTCACTTTCCTGCCAAATTGTGGCCTATGCCCTGACCAGCAGTGCCACCTACAGGTCAACTCCATGAAGACAATTTGATAATCCCTGAATCCTGGCCTGATTTCTACAGCTCTGGAATTCCCAGGCTTGAAAAGACTTTCAATCAGCAAACGCTGAGCAGTTGTAGGATCCATGTTTCTATTTTCAGACCTCATCTACCTTGGAAAGTAAATGGCCTCTGCAATAATTTACACATAAGGAGAGGGAAATCCCATTTACGGTAACAAAATATATAGGAATAAATTAAAATATAGTTAAGAGACTACATGAATTAAACTACAGAACTTTGCCAGGAGTCATAAATATTTGAACAAATCAACATACCATATAACTAGGTCAAAAAAAAATCTGAGTACTATAAATTCTTCCCTACTTTATAAATTTAATGTGAGCCCAATAAAAATCTCAAAGAACTTCCCTTTTCAAAACCTGAAAAATGCATCTAAATTTCATTTAGGAAAATATGGAAAACATCCTAAAAATAGTCAATATTTATGGAGCTCTTATCATGTATCAGGCACTGTTACTTTTATCATTTTTCTCTTTACAATTGTGTGCAACAGACAATATCATCAGCCCATAGAAAAGAAATGTATTCTTTTAGCTGACCAGCATCGTATTTCTTTCTTATGGTAAACTCACTCTTGATTTCTCAGTCAAGAGAATTATCCTTCCTTGATTTTGGCATTAGGTCTATGAATCTTCCCAGGCGTCTTGCTCTTCCCAAGCCAATGGGCAGATAAATGACCTCACAGGCAAATGATCCATGCGAGGCCAATTTGCCTGCTGCTTCACATTTTCAAATTTAAGTGAAGAAACAAAAAAATCATTGAAGTTCCCTCATTCTAGCAGAGGTGTCTTGCCGAGATACTCAATTTTACCTACTGTCTAGTTAGACCTCCGGAAGGAAGGAGGCAAGGTGGGAAGGTGATGAGCCCAGAGAGCAACGAGACGACGCCATTCACACTTGTAGACTGAAGGGAACGGTGTTGGCAGAATCCCATGTAGCCGCAGCAGAGGAGACACTTGACAAGATCTGCGGCCATAGGAAAAAGAACAAAACCACCGACAGTCAATCAAGGGCAGGCCAGGAGTAGGGAAATGGGAACCCTGACCTCTCTGATTTTCTACTACTGGCCAAACACAATGAAAAGCCAGAACACGAGAGCCCAGGGGAAGCATCCAGAGATGTCAGCCCTGAAGGGCCAGGAGAGACCATGCTGGTGCACGAATACATGTAGAATGTCTGGCCAGAACACTTTCCAATTTTTTGCTTCAGACAGAATTGGTTTCTGCAGCTTGCAACAAAGCCGTCAAACTAACACACCTCACATTACAGATAAAAAGTGAAGTTCAAAGGGGTTTAGGATATTTTCTGAAGGTCACAGAGGTCATATGTGTAGGACTCTAAAACAACTTAAATTTCATAAAAGAAGTTTTAAAAGCCACAAGACAAAAAAGGCCACAAGAGTTAAGTCAGCCCAATACATGTATATGTATACACCCATATAGGTATATACACACACCAGTCACTGATTCGGAATACACAACCTGAAAACAGACGCTGGTATCCATAAGAATTCCACATATTTTAGGAGGTTTCACTGGAGAAAGGGAAATTCATTTGTCAGATTTGGAGTGAGGGAAATCATTGAATATTTGAAGGAGAAATTAATTTAGATCAAATCATAAATATACCCAAATTCCAAATGATTTAAAGACCTAAATGTCAATACCACAAAGCATTTGTGGGCCCTTCTAATGCAAAAAAACAAAACAAAAACAGTCTCCTTACTTTAAACCCAGAACCCTTTATCCAGTCTTTCTTCAGTGGAGGGGAGAGGGGTGGAGGGTGACAAGGTTTTCCTTTAGAAGACTTTTCAAAAATGACCTCAAAAACAACCATTCTCAGGAAGTGTCTGCAGGATGAGCTCCAGCAAAAGAAGAGAATTAAAGCAAACAAGAGGAATACACAGGATCTGGGAAACAAGAGACTCTAATACAGAAGGGCTAGCGGCAAAGGGAAACCCATGGAGATACTTGTTCAATGGCTCTGGGAATAGCCAGTCAGAATGAAGCAGTAGGACAAAGGGCACTTGGAGAGTTGCCCCTAGGAAAATGAAACAAATAAAGGTAAGTTGATAACCTGAGTAACTGGCAAATATGAATAGGCATATTGACAGATAACTCAGGCATTTGGAAATAATCAGTAAGAGATTCTGTTATATGAAATGCCTAGAATAGGTAAATCCATCGAGACAGAAAGGAAATGGTGGTTGCCAGGGACTGGGGGTTAGGGAAGTGGAGAATGACTGCTTAATGCACAGAAAGGTTTCCTTTTGGGTGATAACAACGTTCAAGAACTAGATAGTGGGGATGGTTGCACAGCTTTGTGAATGTATGAAATGCCACTGAAATGTACACTTTAAAATGGTGAATTTTATGTCGTATTTTACAATAAAAAAGAAAAAATAGATACAGAGCAAATTAAGCAGTAAGGGCAATTATTAACTCCAGGAGAAAATGAAAGATTAGACAAGAAAGTAGATGTGATTTTAAGGCAGGACTTGGCTTGTCTTAGCAGTCATAATTAAATGATGACTATAGATTTAATCAAAAGCTGAGATATTAACAGAATAGTTAAGGAACGGTAATAGAGGTGAGACAAAGTTTGTTTGGCGCAGCGGTAATATGAACATTAATCCTTACCTACATCAACAGACAGTATCTGAACTGATGAACTGAAAAATAACAGTATAAGCTTATAAACTATGGAGGCGAATAATAGAAATTGCAGTGAGGGTGGTTGCTCTGATGGGTGGTGCATGGGTGTTTTTCTACGTACAACAATAGTAGTAGTACACACAGCAGTAATAGTAGTGTAATTTCATTCAGGTTCCCAGACTCCATTCCAGGCTGTGTGAGTATATGGGAGGGGGTCTTCCCACACATAACACCAAGGAATTCCTGAACACCAACAGGTGTCCAAGAACTCAACACAATTCCAATGTTATCTGCCTGGACACAGCACCAGATTTCCCAGGTTAAGGGCTTTGTTCTACAAGGCTGCCCCTCCACCCGACTCCACACGCAGGTCACAAGCCCCAGGCAATTACCTGTGCTTCTGACCCACCACCTACAGATTGGAGGTCCCAACAACCTCGCCCTTGGGTTCGATTAATTTGCTAGAGCGGCTCACAGAACTCAGGAAAACATTTACATTTACCAGTTTAATAAAGGTTTCCATAAAGGATACAACAGCCAGATGGAGAGATACAGAGGGCAAGGTCCCAGATAAAGGTGCTTCCACCCTTGTGGAGCTTGGGGCCTGGTTGGGTGGCATGTGGAGGTGTTGTAGTTGCCCACACATAGAAGCTCCCCTCAACAAAGAAGCAGGACACAAGAGAGAGGTATGTTCTTCCCAGGGGCTTTGCGAGGGCTTCATTGCATAGTCGATTGACTAAATTATCGACCATTGGCTGTTTCAGCCTCTAGTCCCTGCCCTTGGGTGGGTCCAAAAGTCTCATTAACAACACGACACCCATTTCACCTTTAAGACTGCAGTGTTTCCAGGAATGGTCAATGAAGACCAAACATACCTGGGAAATATACATATTTGGTCATATGAATCACCAAATATGTATTTCTTATGCCTCACTATATCGTTGGAGGGAACCTGCAGTGGTGGAGGAGTGCACATCAGGAGGGAAAAGGAGCAGCTAGTGATATAAGCATTCTAGCCCCATTTGAATTTTTAACTGTGCACAAATACTCCTTCAAATATAACTTTAAAGAAAAAGCAGAGGCAACACTTGTAACTGAACTTCCTGAATGTAAACTGGAAAAATTGTAAAAGATTAAGTTTCGATACATGAAAAGTCCAAAACTTCAGCACACCAAAACCTATCAAATTTCTGGGATAATCTCTTCACACATCCTCTCAAAAACCTTAAAGATAAACAACATGAATAAAATCAAACATGAGCAGCTATGTGGAAGGGGTGATAAGGGAAGAGGCACAAATTGCAGAGATGGTCACCACTGCCAATATCCCCAGCAACCAGGCAGATAAAAGAAATCAGGGAAACAGATAAACAAGTGGTCAGGCAGGTGGACAGGCTGTTGAGGACCATAGGAAGCAAAGTACAGGGAGTACAGAGTACACATCTCTGCCTGGAAATACTAAGAATGGAAACACTTTACACCACTCCCAAAAAAGCAACCTTCTTCATGGGAAGGTAGGAGCAAGTCTGAAAGTGCCAGGGGAGGGCAGAAGAGCAGGGACACTGACTGCTCAGGCCCTTCAGCATTCCCAGGGACATAGAATGCCACTGAGAAGGTTCTGTGGCGACAGAGCAGATGAGGCGGCTTAGGGGAAGGACAGCGAAAGCATCCCAATTTCCTTTGAGAACGCTGCCGCATCCACGTGGTGCGCTGTCTTCCCAGGAGTGGCTGCCTCCCCAAAGGGACACTGGGAAGACCAAATCTTCCAGCCCCTCCCCATGGGACCACAAGGGTCAGGACCCTAGGATAAGCAGATGCAACACCCTCCCCAAAGACTGGCAAAGTACAGCGAGATCCTAAGAAACTCAGGGTTCACGGCAGTGGCAGATGTCAGCAGGCCCACCACAGCTCCTCATGTCCACAATGGGTGCTGCAAATGGGCAGGATGGCTAAACCACCAATGCAGGCAGGGAGGCCAGCACAGGCAGGAGGGGCCCCACAAGCCTGGGAATCAGCAGTGCAGGATGCTCAGCACCTTCAAATAGACACGCCCAGTGGTAATACATACAAATGTACATTTTGACTTCTGCGATTAAAAATAATAAGCACGTTTTATGTTACATCAGTAAAAAAGAACAAGAGGGCCAATTTAAAGGTAAAATTTTTTAATAAACATTATAACATGTCCTTGTTGCTAGAAATAAATGTAGAAAAATTAGTCGTTCCAAAGAAAGCTTTCAGAATCATTTTTAGACTTCTACACCGAGCTGCTGCCACCATAATCTAGTCTACTTTGAACTTTAAAACATGGAGGATATTTTGGCTTTCAGTGGGACCATCTCGTGACATATTTAAAGAGTCTCTGTTTCCATAATGAAGAGCATCCAAGTGCGCATGGACATGCAGGGGAACGCAGTGGAGGAAAAGGGGTCTGGAAATGCAGAATTCCAAGTACCTGATTCTCCAATATCATTTTCTCTTTTGTGGATTTTCATTTTTATTAAAGCTACACATTCTCTCAATTCACAGAGCCAAATAGTTCTCCAAGCCACACCCCTGGCCTCCCCTGGGGCAATGCTTCCTCCAGAACTTAGGTCTTCTGAAGCCTACATTATATTTCTTGATTTGAAAATTTAGATATTTCTGGTTTTCTACTGCAGAACATGAAGAACTGTCTACCTTTCTGACCTCTGACTTTCACCCCTGACTTCGTCCTGCCAACATGTTCTAGATCCTCAGCATCTGGGCTTAATATTTGGTTTGATTAATAATCCAGGGTGGCAATAGCATGTCCAGGTGAGCACTAGTCACAGCCGGGCCATGGAGCGGATGGTGAACACCTCTCCTTCCCTGTTGTAAGTGGGTAATTGCATTATTTTTCATTTGCTTAGCTCCCTGGGTCATAACTCAACCCCAGACTTTCTGCCAATTGTCCAAGTCTCTCCACAGATGCTGATGAATCAGGTCATCTACAAACATCACCTTCTTCAAAGGCTTCTGTCCAGTCCACTCTAGCAGGAGCAGAGGGAGTGGAGGCTGCTACCCAGCAGGAAGTGCAGGTGGCCAGGAAGACAGGCGAACTGCCAGAGCCGAAGACAGGAAACCCCAGCAGAACCACTCCAGGGGCTCCTGGGCAGCTTCCCCCAGGAGGAAGCAGATTCTCAGCAAAGAGGAAGTGAACTTCCCCCAGTCTGCCACTAACACATGCTGAAATGCATGATTCTCCACAAACAAATCCAAGGGTGACCGCAGAAGCCTAACAGCTCAACAAAATCGTCTAAGGTTGCTTGAGAAATCTAGATGCACTTTCAACAGAATTCTCCAAGGGCAGAGTCCTCAGCAGGTACAGGTTCGAGAGCAGGAGCAAAATCTACATCCACCCTGCAAACCTCTTCTGCGGTTACACATGCCATCATGAGCACAAGAAGGCATAAGGGTGAAATACCCTCAGTCACTTTAAACAGACCAAGTCGTTCCACATGGACACTGTGCCGTGGTCCTCCACACATAAAGGATACAACTACCTTCCAACCTTTCCACTACAATCTCCAGGACGTAATGTAAATCGATACTCCCTACATAAGTCTTTACTCACTCAGATGTTTCTGTCTCTATGCGAAGACTTCATTTTCTTCCCCATTCTGTTCTGTGGTTTTCCAAATTCCTACCATGCATGGCATGTACTATTTTGTCCAAATGATAGAAAAGTAATAAGCTTGTAAAAAATCACGAACTACTAGTACCAGAAAAATCTACCCAATCCATTGTTCACCAGATGCGCTATGTCACGACAATTTTTGTTTTTTAAAAAAATGCATCTCTCGATTTAGTCAGGCCTCTGGGGATAAGGGATTAGCTACTTTCAGATTGAAAATGATGTATGTATTCAGGTCAAATCTTAATTTTGTCTTCTTCAGAAGAGCTGCAAGAAAGCCTAAAAGATTTGAAGTAATGTCAATTTACTATCACCTTTACTGAAACTTAATTCCTTGAGCCAGTGGAAGGTCCTTACTGTAGTTGATGGTACTGAGGGGAAAAAAAAGAACAAATTAAATGAAGGATAGTACATGCATAATATAGAATATTTTTATGCCATTCAGAAAACAAACAGATCTGTGCATATCAACAAGGTGAAAAATCCAAGTTACAAGTTGGTGAAGAAAAAAAAAATCAGGGTACAAAACAATAGTAGTATATAGATCCAGTTTTCTAAAAGAAAAAAAAAAAGAGAAAGAAACACAAAACTCTGGAAAGACACATATCTATGTTATTCAGAGTTTCCAGGGCACAAGAATATGGGGACTATAAACTTTCTTCTTTTGCTCTCTCAGAAACTTCTCCTGAGCTAGTAGGAAAACACAGATATTCTCATTTTGACAGAATATACTATAATTTAAAAATAAAAGCTTCCCTATTAATTAGTCACCTGGATTTTCCAAAGCGGAAAACTGTGCCCATTAAATGGGTTCTAAAAAGACTGTGGCAAAATGTTTGCCACCACGGTCTCAAGAGCACAAGAAAATAAAAAGTAATAACTGACTGCAAAGAATGGGAACCAGACAAGAGTTTGAGACTTAACAAGCCACAGTCACAGCCCGTCAGAAGCTCCTGCTGGGTTATCTAGGGAGCCAGTATTGGAAACCCCACGCAAGGTCAGAGTTCATGAGAACCAGTAAACTGGCTAAGATAGGACCCTCACCCGTGTTCTTTCTACAACCTAACAACACATGGGCCTGACCCCACATACTGTTTTATTGCACTTGCATAAAACTGTTTCTACACAAGAGGGAGCAAAAACAGTAAAAGTAAAAGAAAGAACTTCTAGTGAACATACCCCAGAAGCAGGCTCCCTACCCAGCTACCCATGTGCTGGCTGAACAGTCCACATTCAAGGCTCACGCTCAATATTCTGAGAGGTGATGGTCCCAGCTTTAAGCCAAGCCCACAGGCCTCCAGCCTACTCCCTCCCCTACAGCTTCTGAGTCTGCAAGGGCGGTAAATGCATTCCAAAAGAAAACTAAACAACAGCTTCTTCCACTTTCTCCTGCTGGCTGACCCTGCACGTTCTGTCCCTATGCCGTCTCTAGATACGAGATGGTTTCACAGTCAAGTCCTGGGCACTGGCTGAAGCTGGACAAGAAGGGGAGAAAAATAATAGTACAAAACAGATGTTCTGGGCGGGGACACCTGGGGTACAGTAGAAAATAAAATTAAATGAAATTGCACAAAGATAGAGCAGAAAGAAGAGTGTAGGAGAACATTCCAACAGCTTTAGTCCAAACCTATCTTCCCAAAGCCTTTTCTTACCAAGTGGACCTTCTCATGTACTGTTTCCAGGCATCACTACCAGACTCCCGGCCTCCGCCAGTGTGCTTTTCTCCTCCTGGAGGAATACAAAAGAAAGCTCTCACCTCCTGAGAACTTTTTTGTTCTCTGTGGACTCCTACTCCACATCACTGCAATGATGATACCAAAGAAGCCAGAGCTACCGGACCCATTACTTCACATGGAGCCCAGAGTTATCTCCTCTGCAAACAAATAAATAAAAGGCAGAGACCAAAACAAACAGGAACAAGGAACTAAGAGGTAAAATAAAACAAAAGGAATTAAGAGGAAATAGTAATGTGTCAGGAAACAGAAGAAAACCCTAAAAATACTCTCACCATTAGACCAAGGTGTTAAGAGTGGAAACCTCTGGACTGTGGAAACATAATTGTATTTTCTCATTTATGCTTCTCTCTTTTACTACAATATACATAAACTGCTTTTATAATATTTTTAAGTATTACTAATGTCCTTACAGATTACACGAAGATAATGATTCCATAAAACAAGGAAAAGGTATGATTTAAAAGTGTGCCATCAAAGCAAAAGAAATCAGTTTCAGTGTTGTTTTTAGTAAGAGCAAAAGAAAAAAATTAATTAAAAAATTAGAGGAAAATTTGAGGAAATGTCCCATACACAAAACAAAAAGACTTAAAGAGATCAAAAATAGAGAAAAAATAACAAAATTAAACAATTCTTGAAGAGGTATCATTCAAGTAGGAGTGCTAGAAATTAAAACAGAGAAAAGTTAAGGGGAAAAACTGTCAAAGAAACACCACTAAATAAAAAAAGAAAAGTAGCAAACATCTGCCAGCACTAGAACCTATGAGTCCTAACATTCCAAGGCCAATCACTGGCCCACTGACTGTCCAACCAAAACTTTTTATAAAGATGTCCACTGTGTTACTGTGAAATTTCAGGACAGTAGATATTTTTGGAAAGAGAAAAAAAAAGAAAGATCAGGAACCAAATTGAATTGGGCTTTTCAACCATAACCAGAAACCAGAAGACAAATTAGAAGAAAAATTATTACACATTGTGCAGAAAAGACCCTGCAGGTCTGCTAACAATGGTGCTGGCATCTGGGAACTTGGCTGCTAAACAGTTCCCAACACTGATATAAAACTTCCCCTGAATGGGAAGACAGTGTAGCACAAAGACAAGTAGTGACCCTGTGGCATCTTACTATGCTGATGGACAGTGACTGCAATGGGGTATGGAGGGGACTTGATAATATGGGTGAATGTAGTAACCACAATGTTTTTCATGTAAAACCTTCATAAGAGTGTGTATCAGTGACACCTGAATAAAAAAAAAAGATAAAGACAAGTAGAAAAATAAATAAAAGTTCCCCTAAATAATAAAAGTATCTCACTGGGCCTGAACTGTTTTTATGCAAACAATGTGGCATATGTTAAACACCCATTTCCTTTGGGTAGTCTGGAATTTGGGTACGTGCTGGGCAAAAGGTGCCCATGTGAACAGCCCCCAGTAAAAGCCTCAAGTGCTGAGTCTCTAACAAGCTTTCCTCTTAGACAGCATTTCACATGGAAGCTGACACAATCCATTGCCAGAATAATTAAGCACATCTGTGGCTCTGCTGGAGGAGACCCTTGGCAGCTTGTACCTGATTTCCTCTGGACCTTGCCCCCTGCAGTAACGCCATAAAGGGAAAGGAGGGAGTGTAAGGTTAATCCATTGTAACAGACGGTCAATACATCAAGCCCAAAGTTGCAGAAGAGAGAGCAGTAAAGCACACTACTTAGAAAACTATAGTAAATTAAAGGTAAATTTATGTTTTTGTCTTAGTTAGACTCTCAAAGTATTTGCCTCTGGGAAAGGAGGGGAAGAGAAAAATATGGGCAGAACAGCTTTTTCCCTTCTAAGACTTGTTTAAAAACTTTAAAGATTAACTGTGAAGTCTGAAATGAAGAACAGTCCGTTAGAGAGAAGGTGTGGCCTGGAAAAAGGGACTAAAGGTTGACAAGGAGCAGACAGCCACTCACGCATTCAGGAAATAAACAGCAGAGGGCAGGGGTGAAGGGCTGAACTGAGAGGGAGGGAACATGCCACAGTCTGGACAATGAATAGTGTAGTGTTTGGTCTAAAATATGTAAAAGAATGCCTCTAATGGTTTAAACTGTTACAGGTATTAATGCACATTGATTTTGCTTCTATTTATAACAAAAACAAGGCAATCTGTTTTTACTATACTTTGGAGCATTTTTAATAACTAAAACTTTTTATGTGATTGTTGGGAAGGGCTTTCTAAAAAAATCCATTAATACTACTGCTACTAAGTTTAAGCATTAAGAACTCAGGGCACCTGCCTCCTGAGTCCTCACATGGCCAAGAGAAAATAGAAGCAGGGCTCAGTGAAAAGAAACATCTTAGTATTTTATCTAAGATAAAGATAATATTTACTATTTACCATGCCCCTTTGCAAATAAAAAACAGAATTTTTCATGTGAGGCTTTCTGGCTATAAAGCAGGAATGTTTTATCTTTTTTGGGTCGTGGACTCTCTCCCCAGAAAACAGATGGCCTCATTTCACAGGGTCACATAACTCAGGTTAAGGGCCCCTGCTCTCATGCCATGTCACACCTGAGGATAAAGCGCAGGACCTTGGACAGTAACTCTGACTATGGAGCATAAACTCTCTCAGGCATGTTAGGCCAGATAAGATTATTATTTCAGCTTCTTGGTCACACTTTTCTAAAAGCTACTATTGCTTTTCTTTTGCCATTCGTTATGGACTGGATTGAGCTTTTCAACCACAACACTGGAAACCAGAAGACAATTGTGTCACTTCGTAAAATTCCTATGTCAAAGCCATACCTCCAAACCTTGGAATGTGCCTATATATGGCAATAGGGCCTTTAAGGAGCTAATTACAGCTAAATGAAGTCAAAAGGGTACGGCCCTAAACAAAGAGGGCTGCTGTCCTTATGAGAAGAGGAAGAGACACCAGGGATGGGAGTAGACAGAGAAAAGACCATATGAGGACTCAGGAGGCAGGTGGCAGTGTGCAGGGAAAGAGGCCTCAGGGGAAACCAAATGTGCCAACACCTTGACCTTGGACTTCTGGCCTCCAGAACTATGAGAAATGCATCTCTGCTCTTTCAGCCCCCTAGTCTGTGGTATTTTGTTATGGTAGCTCTAACAGATGAATACACTGCCTAACACAGAAAGAAGAAACAATTCTCTACATACCAAAGGCACCGCCAATCTCAGCCCCACTCGTTGGAATATTGACATTTACGATCCCACAGTCCGATCCTTTGGGTCTGTGTGTAAAAAGGGAAGCACGGTGAGTGCAATGTACAAGACAGTAAGAAACAAGAAGTTCAAACAAGACCTCGTAAGACTCTCAATGCTGAAAAAAATAGACTTTCAACTATGATGGTTTCACTTTCTTTGTTTAAAGTCCAGTCACAACACAAATCAGACTCACGGAAGTTTGCAAAATAGACAAAAGTTATACCCAAGCCAGCGGAAGATTCTGCCCAAATCCTTTGTAAAGATGCTACTTGAAAGTCCCTGTTTTACTTCATTATTCCATGCAAAGACCTCCTCTTCATTCTAAAAGGACAGATGTTAGAAGCTATTAGATGACAGCGTGTTCAGGTCAAAGTTCACTGACAGGATATTTCATGAGATGTACCAGCACAATTTTTATGCACAAAGAAACTGAAGAGTCAACACCTTACTAATTTTATGTTTCTCTTGCAGATCTCTGTGGGGTTTTTCCCTTAACTGTACTTTGAGAAACACAGGTGAGTACATTTTCTTTTTAAGCTCCTGCATATAATAACTACTATTTATTGCGCTCTTATTATATCCAGACACTGTCCTAGGCATTTAACATGCATTTAGTTATTTAATCCTCACAGCAGGTTATATAATAGCCCCAATTTACAGATTAGGCAAAAGAGGCTAAATAATTTGCTCAAGAACTCGTAGTGAAACACACACACACACACAACATGAAATTATACTCTCTTGTCACCATTACGTGAAACAATGATAAGACAATATAAAGAAAGATTCTAAAAGATGCTATTATATAAGTGCAACAGGTGCAATTCTCATTATCCCTTAACTGTTAATCATAGTGTATTCAAAGCTTGATCTGACCTCTAACTAGTCACTGGCACAGCCAGGGCATCTAGTTATCTTCTGTTAAAAGCACCACATAATTCAAGTATGAAAATCAAATGAATATTCATATTTGACCTGATTGTTTATAGTTCATAATGTGTGATCAAAACTGAAAGTTTCTGTGATGACTGCCCTTGTACTGTTCACCATGTAAGAACTTATTCACTATGTAAGAACTTGTTCACCATGTAAGAACTTGTTCGTTATGCTTCAGAAGATTGGAGACTAACGAGAATTAGGCTTGGGGTGGATTAATGATTGTACATTGAGCATTGAGTCCCCTATACAGAATTTTATTGTTGTTAACAACCATTTGATCAATAAATATGAGAGATGCCCTCTCAAAAAAAAAAAAAAAGGGCACCACAGCCTGATTTCTGATACAGGTTGCAACTGGAGGTCTTCAGATCACCCCTTGATTTGTTCACTGATACTGAGCATTCAGGCTATCAAACTATCTGGTCCCTTTATATAGAAGCTGACTTTGCGGACCATGCAGCTCGGAACCAGGTGATGACAGCTGAGGTCTGCATTCTCCATAAATTCCAACACTGGTCCTCAGCTTCTCTCAGATGCCCGGGCAGCTAGCTCAACATGCGAAATGAACATGAGGTTCATCTCATCATAGTTAATCCTTAAATTTTTTTCAAATTTCTACTAATCAGAGTGACTTCCCAAAACTTCCATAAAAGCTAATCCAGTCAAATTTAATATGCCTTCATTTTCTCCTAGTCTTCTCAAATGTTTCAACATTAAATGAGAAAAAAAAGAATCTACGCATACCTTGAATTTAAAGACATAAAGAATCGGAGCAAAAGTCTCTGTGTGTGCAATGGAAGCATTGTGAGCGAGACCTGTCACAATTGTCGGTTCTACGTAATTCCCAGGGCGATCCATAACCTTCAGCAGAGAAATGAAATAAGAAGAATGAAAGCATTTTGTTTTTCTGATACTTGGGGTCAGAGGAAATGATCTTGGCCTATACTTAGAAGAAAAAAGTAAACACACAGGTGAATTATTTCCTGAAAATAACTTCCCACCATGAATAAACATTCTCTCTGCCTCCTATTAATTTTTAGTTGGTCAGAGAAAAACAGAAAAAAGGAGTCAAGGCTAGAGCACTGGGCCATGTGTGACAACCAAGTTACACTGAAACAATACAGGTGGTTATTTAAAAATGTATATAGTTTGAAAATAGGTCATCTATACCCACTGTATTACAGACTGTAGCATCCCCACCCTCAAATTCATATGCTAAAGCTTTCACTCCCCAATTGACTGAATTTGGAGACAGTACCTTTAAGGAAGTAATTTAAGTCAAATGAGGTCACGTGAGTGGGGCCCTAATGTGACAGCATGGATATTCCTGTAAGAGCAAGAGACCCTGGAGCCCTCTCTCGTGCACCCGGAAAGGCCACAGGATTCCGGGGGAAGGCAACCATACGCATTCCAGGAGCAGAGGCCTCAACAGAACCCAACCCTGCCAGCACCTTGATTTGGGGCTCAGCCTCCAGACTCTGAGGACAAGTAACTCCTGTTGTTTGAGGCACCCTGTGCTTTTGTGTTACAGCAGCCCTAGCAACTAATACGCATGGTACAAACATCAAAAGGGTACACCGGTACACTCTACTCACCAACCTCCACATAACAAAACTACTAGCTCATGTCACTTAACTAATGCTTGCTTTTCCTTCTATGAAATATTTTGATCCCCACAAAGCTGCCCTGGTTGGTAGGCTGACTTTCCGGTGTGCCTAGGAGATTTGGCTCTCACACTGAGCTGTCGGTCACAAGGACGGTATTTACTCCCAATCCTGTGCATGGCGGCTGCATTTGTTACTGTAATGCCATATTGCATTACATAACTTAAATAAGTATTACACAAAGAAAAAAAAAGATCTGAAGGTGAATGTTTTAGAAAAAGTTATGAATGAGTAACAAAATTACAATACACATACACACCTCTGTCCAATTAGATGAGTGTCAATGGTAAGGGGTTTAAAGAGGAGTCTATTCTCAGATAGCTTTGCAAGAGACTCAGTTCTCAGAATTTTAAAGAAAGTAAAGTAAGTTATAGATAATAAATGATGTGCATAGCTTACGCAAGGATGAAGACAAATTCCTATCATACATGAAGAAAACACTTTGGCTCTCCATTGAAGGAATCAGTCAAATGTAATTGTATGTGTAAAGTTAAAATAAAATATCTTTCATAGGTTTCTCTTTTCATGTCAGTTATCTTTGCTGCAAGTATTTTTGCATCATTACCAATTGGTCACTAAGGCAATTCGGCCCTCAGAGATAAAATCACAGAAAATTAAAGAGGATATTCATTAAAAAGGGCAAAATGAAACATGAAAAATGAATAAAATTAAGAAGACTTTTTACCGTGAAATCCAAAATATCTGACTATATTCAAAATATAGAGTGTAGAGTCATGGAAATACTGAGCAAATAACGGATTTTATTTTGTGGATGCTACCTAAGCACCTGTCTTCAAACTCTTTCACTCACAGTGTGACCTATTTTTTTTTTGCTCAGCACTGCACTTTTTCTTTCTCACTAAAATTTCTTCCTTCGTTAAGGAGGTATCACTTTCTAAATATTAGGATGCATAATTATAACTGAGTTTTGTATTGTGTTGTGAAAACCTTTGACACTGTTGTTCGTTCTTAGCATATTGTCACATATCCATTGATACCCATTCCAAAGTTCTATGGGAAGTATATGGGTTCAAAACTGTGCCACTGTATAGACCATTATAAGGGCTAAGATTTATATAATTATATGATATAAATGTTATATGATTTATATAATATAAAAAGAGGAGTGCTGTACCAATGCAGTAATGAAACCAAACTATCAACCAGTTATTTCTTTATCTTCTAAACTGCCTTATGGCCAATTAGTTACACAATTAAAATGTTTTCGGTAAAAATGTTTGCAGCAAAGACGTTTACAGCAGAACTATCTAGAATCATTTTTTGATTTCCTGCCTTAACTTTCCAAAATAATCAGTAAATATGGAATCTTAAGTGCTCAGATTACAAAGTCCCCAACTGTACCATGAAAAGGTCTCCCTTCGTATAAATTCCCGGAGACTCAATTCAAAGGCAACGGTAGTTCGGAGTTTCTCGTGCGTCCTTCCAGAAATGTTTCCCGCATTTTACATTGTCACTCTTTAAAATATGTATTCCTCCCTTATAAAAGGGATGGAGAGAGAAAGATGGCAGCTGGGGACCCTTGACCAATTTGCCCAGGGCCTGCTTGTGCCTAAGGGAATGCCAGTAAAAATCTGCGATGAGCTCACCAAGTTTTCATTACCTTGCCACCATAAACCACCGTGCCACCTTCTTTCTTCGCTTCTTCCACTGCTCCAACGAACATGCTCACTGCTTGCTTGGTGTGGAGCGGCCCATAGAGAACATTAGCTGGAGAGAAAAAGGAATGCTCTTCATTTCACCCCAAGTGACATTGTTTTATTATCAGAACAGCTTTCCCATCAACAGCCCAATCCCTTCTCATGTTCTTGTAGTTCAGAGCAGAAGTCAGCAACCTTTCTTTGGCAAGGGCCAGACAGTAAACATTTAACACTTTGCCTGACATCATGGTCTCACCGCATCCAGTGCTGTGTGAAGGCGGCCACAGAAGACACATAAACGGGTGTGCTGTGTCTGCACTCTATAGAAACAGGCGACAGGCCAAACCTGTCCACCGCTGGTTTAGAGGAATGGCTGTCAGCAAATCAGAGCGCAGCATTAAAAATACAGGATCCCGAGAAAGACAAATACCGTATGATTTCACTTATTTGTGGAGTATAAAAAGAAAGCAAAATGGAAGGTATAGAACAGCAGCAGACTCAGACAGTGAGAAGGGACCAGTGGCTACCAAGAGTGAGGGGTTAGAGCGGGTTGGCAGGGAGGGGGTAAGGGGCACAAGAATTCGCATCGCAACATAAGCAGGTCATGGGGACTGTAGCGCAGCACTGAGAACACAGTGATTCTGTAACATCTTTCTGCGTCGATAGACAGTGACCACACTAGAGGGGTTGAGGGTTTGATGACGTGGGTAACTGTTGAACCACTGTGTTGTACATTTGAAACCAAAATAAGACTGTATATCAATGATACTCAAATTAAAAAAAAGAAAAAAAAAAGGATCCATTCAAGCATTGCAAGTGCTCATGCACCAAGAACTTCAGAGGCTCAGCAGTCAGTGTGCAACTTAAGGGGGAGAGACGATGCTGTGGATGGCTGCCGGAAACCAGAGCATTAACGGTGGCCCCAGGGGAGGAAGGAATATTCACATAGGCTTCGAGGAAAAGGTGGCATTTTAGCAGAGAGCCGGATGTGGGCAGAGTTGAGTGAAGAGCATCTCCAGCAGAGAGAGCAGCAGGATAGAGCCTGGACCGCTGGAAGAAGTTTGCAGAAGCTGGAGCTCAGGAAGCAGGGAGGCAGATGGTACGTGGGAGGGCAAAAGGTGGGCAGGGAAGGAGGCAGAGGTCAGGCCACGGAAGACTGTGAGGCTGCTAAAGAGGGGATCAGAAGGCATCAGGTTTTAGCTGAAGGGCAATGAGAAGCACTGGAGTGTATTAAGTAGAGGAGTAAGTTATGTAATTTGATTACCCCCCAAAAAGTCACTCCAGTTACTGTGGAAGAGGGAAAAATTAGCTGGTGATGTCTGCAGCCTTCCAGGAGAGAGGACGGTGGCGGTCTGGATGAGTGGAGGGACAAAGCTTCCTCACAAACTCACCCCGCCTGAACACTGCCTCCCGGGCTCACCCACCAGCCCACATCAGGCACTCGGGATCCCAATGCAGGAGCAGCAGCTCCACCCCAAATGCCCGATTATCTGCTTCACATGCCCATTGGACCTCACAGGGAAGGGGAAAAAACACTAGAAGATCAGAAACACTTATCACACCAGCTTTCGAAAAGGAACATCTTTGAAATCAACCAGATACTCACAGTCCCACGGGTTCCCGACACGGACCTGCGCATAGGCCTTTTTAAGTCTAGTTACAACTTCATCGTGGATGCTTTCATGCAAAAACTAGGTGGAAAAAGAACCATGCAAGGGAATAGTCAAATAAATGTACAATTTGTTAACAATATACAAGTGTTCTCAATAGACTGACGTGTACTTAACAGTTGTTGCAATACTGTAATCTCTGAGAACAAAAGCAGACAGAAGTTATGTGTATTTTTTAATCATGTAATTTCTAATCTTAACTACACGGAGACAATCATTTCCTCTATTACTGGGGGTCGTGGGGGAGGGGGAGGCAGGAATGTTAGAATACTATCATAAGCCATGTCTTTATCAAGTTTCCAAGACCTACTTGGACGAGTTTCACAAATCAATTATGCCTGTTTCTAGTCCTTGGCGTTTGATGTTTTAATTAGCAGAGAACCCCAAGTACTATCTGTCCTGCGCTAACCATATGAGTCATGAGCACTTGTCACAGTGGTTTGCTCAGCCTACCTCTGCTGTGTAACCACAATGCCCTGAGTCTCAGGCCAAGTGGGTCCCCAGAGCAAGGCCTTCACCAGGTGAGGACAGCCCTTAGGCTCACTCTGGGTGGGATGTGGACTCCACGCTGTGTGCCCAGGGGTGGAAGTCAACTTGCCAGGCCATCTATTCTCTGGGTTGGCCTCCATGTGGCAAATGGACTGACATAATCTTGGAGAGGTACATTGTACTGGAAGGGATTTTTCTACATACGACTAATTGTGTGCCCAGGGGTGGAAGTCAACTTGCCAGGCCATCTATTCTCTGGGTTGGCCTCCATGTGGCAAATGGACTGACATAATCTTGGAGAGGTACATTGTACTGGAAGGGATTTTTCTACATACGACTAACTGTCCCTATGGTTATCGATCTGGGCAATGACGAACAGTATCCTCTAATATTTAACATCAAATATAAATGTGTACTTGCTCCAATATACAAAGGAACAATCAAAGTTGGCTGAATAGGGCAATGCTTGACTTCTATATCATTTCATATTTTACCAGTTAATTCAATTACAGACATTGGGGAATGCTCCTATTTCCTTTTTAGCATTAATGTACTAAATGTTTAAGGCAAACAGATTTAATAAATGGCAAATACTCTATGAACGCATAAATCTTAAATTTTTTTGAGAATGTCAAGTATGGGAAAACAAAGGAAAGATTTCATTTATGGTAAAATAGAAGGGAAAAAATGACAAAGAAAAGCTATGGGAAAAATGAAGACTTAATTTCACTTTATCTTTTATCTTATTCTAATGAATTTAGATTATGTCAAAGAATTTGTTCATACATGTTGTGGGTACAGAGTAGAAACCCAAAACCAATTCACCATAATTCAATTGTTAGATGGTTTTTAAATTACAGGAGGAAAATTCACCATTAGTAAAAAATGGCAAATGTAGCCGAATGCTGTACCTAATCAAAGCTGGTGGTTCTAGTACAGTTTTTCAGTACCATGAAAATCAAGGTTGTATCACACACAAAACTGAAATCCAGCTCAAATCTAAGTGTGGAGATTAAACTTCCCAAACCCACTCACATTGAAGCTAACCACATCTCTGTATGTATCTCACTTAATATTAATGCGTCCTATATATGTGTAAATACTATTCACTCAGAGAGAACATACCTACATAGTCCATTTGCTTTTCCATAAACCATGTCACATCAAGTCAAATCTAAGACTTGACTTATAGACCAAAAATTAAAATCCTTAAAATGTTTTATACGTAAAATGTTTTTATAAAAAAGCCAGGCCAATAGTTCTCAAATTTTTCAAATTTTCTGCTTGTTTTATTTCCTATGTGACACCGGACTTTATCTATAATGTTTAGGTGTAGGATTGAAAATAGGTCTCATCAACCAGTCCAGTTCCAACCAATGAGTGTGAGCCCACTTTCGGAGGGGAAAGCAGAGTCCCTGGTTGAGTAGCAACATCTGCCATGAGCACAGGACGCAATGGGAGGGCCATATATTTGCCAACCACCTCTAGAGAACACATTTCTAGCAGTACCTCTGACATTTCCCCAACAGTACATGTTACCAAGTGGTGCTTCAAGAGCAGAACACTCTGCCCGCGCCGACTACTCACCAGGCGCCTCGCAGTGGTACACCTCTGGCCAGCTGTCCCCACAGCCGCAAAGAGAGCTGAAGGAGTGACTAAGCTGAGATCCGCATCCTCAAAAGCTTAGAGAAACACAAACACACCCGTCAGTGCTGCGAAGAGGCAGACAAGGTACCTGCTGACTGGCATAAATGTGCCCTTAGAAAATGCAGGAAGAACCTCCCAACTATCCTGTCATAAATGCAGAAGCACACTGCAGACGCGGCTTTTCTTCCAAGGACAGTTATATGAGAACAGAGTGGTGAGCTCTATGGTCCTTACCAGAGCACAGATCTCAGTGGAGCCTCCCTCTTTCATCTCTCGAAGCTTCTGATGCTAAGCCTCCTTGGCACCCTCCCTGTGATCTCTTCTCTAAGACCATCATCTGTTGTGTCAGCCTTACTGCCTCCGGTATCACCCCCAGGCCCATTTTGACGCCAGCTTCCCTGGGTCCACAGAGAGAGCGGTGGGACCCTCCTGATCATCACCATCATCAGGCCACGCTCTCTACCATCAGCACCCTCACCCGCATCGGTCCATCTCCTTAAATGCCTCCTGCCGCCCACCTACGGAAGCTTTTCCAAATCTCTGAAACCCCTCAGGTTTACTCCTGCACCACATGACCTCACCCCCTACTTTGCAGAAAATCCAAAGTGACCCTTTCCTGCTGCCTCTGTTCCTCTTTAGAGATCAAGGCAAAATCACTTTCAAATTCCTCTTTTGTCTATTCTTTCCCCCTCCTCTTCTGCCCACTGAAGAAAAAACTAGCAGAGTTTTTACAAGGCCAACCCTTCCACTGATATGATTTGTAATTCCTTCCTTCTTGCCTCTTCCAGAAACTCACAGTCACAATCCCCGCTTTCATCTACAGTGTTTCTCTGTCCGACTAAGAGGATTCTCAGATTAGCAGGAAGGTGAGGGAGGTGTTCATGCAACCCAGCAGACGAGAGCTCGTGTGCACCTCCACCATTTTCTAGGAGTGTCAGTTTAGCTTCGTAAGCCTCAGTTTTCTCATCCATAAAGTGAGATAACAATGTCTGGGTTATAACGAGTAACAGTCCAGGAGTGAAGGAAAGAGCTGTGTTTTGGGGTCTGAGCACTAGGATACAAAAGTTGGCTCTGTCACTTGCTAGCCTGTCACATCAGGCACATAATCATTTTAAGCCTCAGAGTGTCTCCCTCAAATGAGATTAATAATGACATCTACCTCCTGGATTATCACAGGGATTCAATGAAACAATGCACATGAAAAGCTGAGCACAGTACCCGGCAAATCCCAGTGCTCCCTAAATGCTAACATTTTTAAATGAACCCTCGCTTTAACCAGGTTAAAAGTACATCCAGAACAAACCATTCAGGCATTTAAACATGATGACAATGATGGTGGTATACAAGTCGGCAAAATTTTGCTTTATTATCACAAAACTCCACATTTCTATTGATTCTCAACCTACTGATGTTCACTATGTTATCAAGAAGTTATACTGGTTGACTATTTCCTTTTATGCCAAACAACAGAAAAAGAGAATGAAGCAATCTCCAAGCCTATAAGGAAGTGATAAAATGCCTTAAGGAAGTGTTCCTTCCCAAAATAAACGCACTCAATATTCCACTAAAGGCAAACAGTTTTCAAAATCTAACAGAATAAACAAGTCATATAAGGATTACTTATTTACAGATAAACATGTGGCCTGTTTTCAGAAAACAAAAGAAGGAAAAATAAGAAACAATGCCACACTATAAAGTTTCATACCCAGGTGACATTTTACAGACATGAACACCATTCCTTCCTAGTTACCTCCATCTCTAAACCATTGTGTCCTGTCTCACAAGTAAAATTCCTACACATGGGAATTAGGACTTAGGTACCCGTAATGTGGAAGGGATGAGTTCCTACACAAGTTCATATATGATATATATGGTTACTGAAGTTATTTTGAATGGAACACAAAGAAAGGGCAGCCTTACCAATAATGGCATTGTTTCCTCCGAGTTCTAACAAACTTCTCCCTTTAAAAATATAAACACAAATGAATGTCTTTTTCAGTATTAATGCACATTGCTAGAGGGCCTGAATCAGAGACTAACCCAGTTATGTTTTATTTTGATTTAAAATGTAGCATGAGCATTGCATCTGTGTCAGATTTTCTGATCTTAATAATTGCAGCAGTTGTATGACAGAATGTCTGTCCTGACGGCATGTTCTTAGGAAATACACCCAAATGCACCCATAGTGTGAGTGTGAGTGTGTGTGTGTGTGTGTGTGTGTCTTTGTGTTGCTTGAAAGGGAAAATGATCAAATAAATGGGGCAGAATGTAAGCCACTGGTGAATATCTTGTTAAAAGGTATATAGGAATACTTTGTACAGTCTGTTTTTCTTTAAGTTTGAAATTATGTCCCAAAAAACCCCACTTAGTGTAAAATGGTGCAGTCACTGTGGAAAACTATAGGACAATTCCCAAGAAATTAAACAGAGAATTGCCATAGGATCTAATGACTGTACTGTGGGGACTTTACCAAAAGCAGGGAAGACAGGGACTTGAACAGGTGTTTGTACAGCCAGGCTCATAGCAGCATTATTCACAACAGCTAAGAGGTGGAAGCAACCCAAGCATCGTCTATTGACAAATGAATGGATAAACAAAATGTGGTCTATATAAACAATGAACTATTATCCAGCCTTAAAAAGGAAGGAAATTCTGGCACATGCTGCACACGGATGAACCTAAAGGCATTATGCTAATTTAAATAAGCCAGTCACAGAATAACAAATAGTGTGTGAATTCTACTTATAGGAGCTTCTTGTAGTCAAATCCACACAGACAGAAAGTAGAATGGGGGTTGCCCAGCACCGGGAGAAGGCAGAAATGGGGAGCTAGTTTTTCATATGCATAGAGTTAAAACAAAAAAGTGCTGGAGATGGAAGACAGCAATGGTTGCAAAACAATGTAACATATTTAATGCCACAGAACTGTATACTTAACATTGTTTGAAACAGTAAAATTTGTTATGTTTAACCAAAAGAAGTCAAAAAATTCTGTGCTCATTATAGAAAACAATACAAAAAAACAAAGTATCAAGCAGGCAAAAAACTATGGTCCATGGGTTCACATGAACTCTCTCCTCCTACTTGGAATACCTTCTGACCTCTTTCCTGTGCATTTATATTTAGTTGAGATCATACTACCTAATTAACTTTGCTTTATTTTCTAAATTACATCTTATACCTTTCCCCTAAGTTATTAAGAGCTGTTTAAAAAAATCACTGCAGAGTATCCTATCACAACCATACACCAAATTTTATTTAGATACTTCTCTAGTGTTGAATATATTTGTTATTATCTACCTCTTGATCATCGATTTAAGTCAGGGCCAAACAGCGCCGATATTAGAGTTCCAGATATACATTGCCAACTTACAGTCCAGGAAAGCTATACAGCAAATTGCAAATGCAATTCTTACCTTACATTCCCCAGCATAAAGATTTGAGAATTGTTTGCCTCAATTTTTAGAGCTGTGTTTACATGATCTTTTAAACACAAATTTAGTTTCCCTTAAATGCACTTTAACGTCAGCTCCTGTGCTCTCAGCTTGCACCTGGTTGGAGGCAACATGGCTAAACAGATTAAGGTCAGGATTGTCCATAAATACAGGTCCCATTATGGTGCCTCCCTCAGGAAACCGGTGAGGAAAATTGAAATAAGCCAGCATGCCAAGGACACTTGCTCCTTCTGTGACAAAACCAAGACGAAGAGATGAGCTGTGGGGGTCTGGCCCTGTGGTTCCTGCCTAAAAACAGCGGCTGGTGGTGCCTGGACTCACACCATGTCTACAGCCACAGTGAAGTCAGCCACCGGGAGACTGAAAGAACCGAAAGGCCAGGAGGAGTGCCACCGTGTAAAGCATTGCTAGACAGTAAGAAATAGGTTAACTGCATGTGACAAAAATAAATAAATAAAACTAGCGTCTATGTAAATAACAGTTTCTTATTTGTGGTACTATGAGATGGGACAAGTATGTTCTCACCTCTACTGCGCTGAAATGGTTAAACATCAAATGAACGTTAATTATATGGAGCTGGAGTCTGTTATTGTCAAAAGTCACCAAGTATCACATCTGTTCTTATCTTGGCTGCAACACAGGACTGAATGACAGCTTGCTGCCTACAGAACAGCACTCGACCGGATGCTAAGAAAAGGGAGGAACCGTAAGACTCTGAACCTAACTCCGCTCCTCCTGCCTGGCTTCAAGCGATGTGTGGCGGAGATGGGCCCTATAGCTTCTACCGCCTTCCGGTTCTCTGTGTGCTCCTAACCACACTCATCACCACCCACCCCCTCCAAGAAAAGCACCTGTGACTTAAGACAGGCACATACATTTTTAAAAATTGTATTCCCACTAATGGTGTTATTAAGAGAGAACATGAACTGCTGCTTTGAGGAAGAGAAGGGAGGAGGAAGTGAAGACAAAATCTTGTGGGTGGAGAGGAGTGAGATCAATGATCTTAAGCACCATGGCAGGTGCTTATTGGCCATTTGTACATCTTTGAAGAAACATCGATTCAAATGCTTTGCCTATTTTTTCAGTTGGGTTATTTATCTTTTATACTATTATAATATATGTATTTTATATATACTACAATTATATATATATAATATATGTACTTTACATATATATTCTTTATACTACCTTATCAGATAAAGGATTTATAAATGTTCTCCCATTCTGTCGATTCTTCTTTTCACGTGTTTTTTTTTTCTTTTCATGTTTTTGATGGTGTCCTTTGAAACCAAAAGTTTTTAATTTTGGTGATGTCTATTTTTTTTGTTGTTGCTTATGCATTAGATATCATATCTAAGAAACCATTGTCTAATGCAAGGTCACAAAGACCTATATTTTCTCCTAAGGGGTTTTTATAGTTCTAGCTCTTGCATTTAGGTCTTAGATACATTTTGAGTTAATTTTTGTGTAAAAGATGAGGTAGGGAACAACTGTCTCTGTGTGTGTGTGTGTGTGTGTGCAGTGCCTCAGCATCATTTGTTGAAAAGACTATTGTTTCCATTGAAATGCCTTGGCACTCATGTCAAAAATCAATTAACCATAAGTACGTTTTATTTCTGGACTCTCAATTCTATTCCACTGATCTTTATGTCTATCATTATGCCAGTACACACAGGCTTAATTACTGTACTTTTCTAGTAAGTTTTGTAATCAGGAAGTGTGAGTCATCCAACTTTGTCCTTCTTCAGGATTTTCTCAGATATTTGGGGTCCTTAGCATTTCATGTGAATTTTATGACAAGCTTCTCAATTCCTACAAATTCTGAAGGGGCAGACATTTTGAAAGGGCCTGCAATGAATCTGTATATCCCTTGAGTATTGATCTTGAGCAGTAACATAACTAAATTTTCCAAAAAGTGAAAATGGGATGACTTTATATTTATTTAGGTCTCCTTTAAACTTGTATTTCTTTTGTTGATTTTATTTGTAAATACTTTATTCTTTTAATGCTACTACAAATGGCTTTGTTATCCAAATTTCATCTTCAAATTGTTCATTGTTAATGATTAGAAATATAATTGATTTTTTGGTATTGATCTTGTATCCTGCAACTTTGCCAACTTTATTAGCTCTGATGGGTCTGTAAACCTGCTTTCTAAAAGTGACACCCTAACAGTAAAATGGTTGGCAAACTTACTAGTCAAGTCTCAACTCATGCTTCAGTTAGTCTAAATTCAGCATGGTAGCCAAAAATTGAGTTAGTATTACCCTTGAAAACCTCTTTAATGAGACATAAACTAGAACATACAAAGCTTTGTCTATACAACCTTTTTTAGTCAAATATATATGCAACATAAATAAGAGCAGATTTATATCTTTTATTCTACATTCACTCTTAGTCTTATACTCACTGGTCCTATTTAACTGTGCATTTTCTTTTCTTTAATTTGCCAAACAGGTCTGATAGAAATTCATAAATATATTTGATGATCCTACTGTAGTCATTGTAAAAATGAAATCCTTTGCCAAATTATGCTATTAAATTTGTGATCTCCCTAATATTAACCTACTAATAACTATACCTTTTCTTTTACTTGGACATTCAAATAAACACAGCTGGTGCCCCCATGGAAAGGGTCAAGGAAAAAAACCCCAGCTTTTAGCTTTCATATCCATATCTAAGGGAATTAATATCCTCAATAGAAAGCCAACACTTACCAAACCTTTCCTGTACCATAAGGGCCACCTGTTTTCCCACCTGAGTGCTCCCAGTGAAGGACAGCAGGTTCACCCGCTCGTCTTTGGCCATCGCTGTGCTGTGAGGGAACACACACAGTTACTCAAGCAGAGAAACCCAGCAATGGTGGCACCCGGCGGGACAAGGCCAGAAAGACCAACATGGGCCCTTGTTGTGGAAAGGCAGTCAGTCAAAGACACCAAGAAATCTATCCCAAGGGAACAAGGGAAGGTTGTCATGAAAATGAACCAGATTTTCACAAGCATAGCCATGCCACAGAACAAGCTAACCTGTTCTGTGAGCGCTCCATACAGAAAAATCACCTCAAGGACATTGTTAAGAAAGAAAGTCCTTCCTGTACTGAGGACTAAATGGACAATACAACCTTAGCATGTCCTTGATGAGCATCCCAGCTTTCTTGCAAACTCTTCAACTAATTCCTTAAGGATCTAAAGACTGTAGGGAACCTCAAGACTATAGAGAAACAGCTTAAGTATCCGTATGAAAGCTGACTTATAAAGGCTATGCCAGAATTTCTAGTTGCTTCTAAGGAATACAGACCAGACACTATTGCTTTAAACCTCTTTGCTCACAGTTGGGTGCTCTGAAGCACTAGGAGGGGTCCAAGCAGGGCAGCCACAGCATTAGACTAATGTAGGGCTGGAACAGCTTCACGAGACCATACATGTAGGATCCCCAGGTTCATCCAGCAAACCCGAGGACTGATACTCAAGGCAGCTGGCGTTTAACACACTCCTGTCTACACTGCTGGAACTCTCGGAAGTTAACCTTCCAAGATTAACATGAAGGACTAGATGCCCAAAGCACAAGAACAGAGTAGGTCAAAGAGAGACTGTTTATGTTTTAAATGACATTTAGGTAGCACTTCACTTGTACTCTGTGGGAGTTGTATTTTCTTATTTACGGGAAAAAATAAAAAAGGAGTAACTTATTGCTCTTTGGCATGCCCAGTGAGGACAGCAGTATGGGAAAAGTGAAGGTCAGAGGCTAACATTTTAATCACCCCAGTGAGCTTGTAAGATCTGACTCCCCTGAAACCTCACTTAAAGTCTTAGCCAGTAATAACAGCCTGGCCTCAGCTTTCGTCATGGTTCAGAGCAATTATAGTCAGTTCCATCTTTAAAAAAGGCTGTGACATTAGACTAAAGTCAAAGAAGCCAGACACACAAAAGGCCACATCATATGGTTCCATTTATATGAAACATCCCAAACAGGCCAGTCCACAAGGACAGGAAATAGATCAGTGGTAGTCAGGGGGAGGGGTGGGGTAGGAAGTGACTCCTAATGGATACAAGGTTCCTTTTGGGGGAAATGAAAATGTTCTAGAATAAGATAATAATGATTACCACACACCACTGAATATTCTGAAAACCACTGAATCATACATTTTTAACGAGAGCATTTTATGGATGTGAATTATAGGGCGATTTAAAAAATATAATACATTTTTGTAAAAGGTTATATTCCCAAGGTTCCCTTTACTGGTCAACTGAAGAAGCCAGACAACTGGACAGGGCCTCAGGGTGGAGGAGTGGAGTGCCAGATCAGGATGCCACAGCTTTGCATTGTAACTGGGCACTTGAACAAATCAAGTATCAGGAAGCCATGGACTGACCACATGTACAGCAGTTTGCTACTTTAGGACATGAACACCTTACAATAGCAAATCTGGGCAACTAAAAAGACAACTCTTTCTCAGATTCCAACAGAGGCTAGGCGTCTGTAAACAAAATCCACAATAATGATGACCCTAAAGCACCCATTATCACCTCCTTAGCTGTGCTGGGCTTTCATTATTCTAGTAAAGGTAATTCTAGGGGATCAACCTGGGGCCCTCTGACACAGACACTCCTGGTGTTATTAACCTACCCGATATCTGCTCCACCACAAGTCAGGGAACAAATGGCGCCCGGCAGCTTGTTGTCCTCCAGAACTTTGGCTATGATCCTAGGAAGGAAGCAGAGGTCACCAGGGGAACAATGTCATTTCTTAGGGGTCTCAGGAAAACTAGCAATAAATTCCAACCACCGGACTTCGCTTTTCTCAACTTCCTTTCCCAAGCCTCAAACACCCTGCCTTGGATTTCTCCTCACACAATCGAGACAAGGTTTTCAAACACTTACAAGCAGAATCTTAAGAAAAAAAAAAAAAACATGGAAAAAAAAATAAGTAAAAGACATAAAGCATTGGGCAGGCAATTCAAGGGATTACTGTCTTTGAATATTTTCTGCCAGGGCAATTTTTTTGAAGGTCTCTCACTACAAATCCATTAAAATGATAGTAAAGAAATACAAAGCAGACAATGAGGAATAAAACCCAGAAGGATGAAGAAAAGGAAAGGTAGTGCCCATCGGCCAAACATCTCTGCAAAGAGGAGCTAGGCAGAGAAGAGGTAAAGGGTGAAATGGGATGCGCCCCAAACCTAGAGCAGGCACTGAGGACATACAGCAGAGGGAGCTGGACCTGCCTATGGCGCCCTAACAAGCTCAGGACTAGTGTCCACTGGCTTCACAGCAGACCCTTAGGTCAGGAACTATCAGTGCCCTCCAGGCTAATGCACCATGGGCCAGCACAGCGTTTAGTCTCCTACAGCTTACCCTGCAAAGAATTGAAATGATAAATATGGTTCAATGCTATTTAACTCTGACTCTGACTCTGAGTTATAATAAATGGCTCCAGGAATTCTGGTCTTTCTGAAAGAGTTCTTCCATTCATTTTGAGCTTCCTAAGGAGCAATGGAGACCCAAATACAGCAGAAGTTCTTTTCATCAATTATCCCAATTTGCTGGCTAATTTCTGATTTGTTTAATTCAAATTTCAGAAAGATCTGAATCCTATATTCACTTCCATAAAAAAAGATACTGTTGTCATACATAAGTAAATTCTCCAATTGTCCCCAGAACATCCTTTATCCATCTAATCAAGGATCACACACCATGGTTAACATGCCCGAGACACGAGGCTTCACATTGTACAATTCTTTCCAGGGACTTAGAGTGCACATACTGCCTCCAAATGTACACTGATTGCTCCTGAATGGATTTTGCTTTGCTGTCTATTAGAGGGTTAAGGTTAAGAAAACCCTTTCCCCTAATGCATGAGAATCCGACCTTGGGTTAACGCTCTAGTTTGTTCCCCAGATTACCTGCCAAATGTCAAAGTTGTCAACAAGGCTACATAGAGAACATGGCATAAAGTAAAAACAACCCCTGGCTGGTCAACTCCACCTGGACTGGGATAACTACCTAAGAGCTATGAATGGGAACCGCACGTTTTTTGATCTTCCTTACAGTGACTCTTGTAACCACACATTCCTCGCATCTCTGGTGTATAAGCTATGCCTATAGAATTACAAGATGTTTGGGCTCCTTGTGGACATTGGGCTTTTAAGCCAGTGCACTCCCACACCTGTCCAGTGTCAACCTCATGTCCCTACCGTGGCATAAACTGCTACAAAGATGCCAAAGGAAGAACAATATCTGATGCCACCAACCTGGCAAACTATGTTCCTGTCCTATGTCCTAAACAGACAGAGGTATGACACACTGCCTGTCGGCATCTTACATATCTGGGCATTTAGTTTAATTTATTTAAGAACTCCTAGTGCACAGTAAGCACATCCTTGGCTAATTCTGGAAAAATTCAGCCTCATTTTACTTACTCTCTTCCGGTACAAATCAGACAGTAGTCTCAGTTATCTAAAAGATCAGCCACATTCCCATTGAACATTTCAAACCTTTCAAACTGCTTAAAGCAAATAAATGTAAAAAAGCTCAAAGCAACAATAACTTGGAACATTTGAAACTAATAACAAAATAAGCAGTATTTTAAACCAGCGGCCTAATAACAGTTGGCAAGTCAGTTCACTGTGTCCACATGAACCATTTTTTTGTTGTTGTTTTTTTTTTGTTTTAAGGTTAATTTATTTTTAAAAATTGCCTGGGGAATCTCATTGTTTTTATGTGTTTTGTGTATCAGACTTTATTTCATATTTAATTTCAACACCCCTGCTTCGAGGGTATTCTTCCTCAATATCACATATTCCTTGCAAGTAAACTCTCATACACATTCCTCTCTCCTTTTCAGTCTACTCTTTAAATGTTAAGCCAGTTTTCCTAACTCATCTTCTAACATGAAGGACCCTCTTGCATAGACTGCACCATGAGCATTCTACCGACAATTGTTAAATCAGAAAACATAGACCATGTAATCAAAAGGACGTCAAGGGTGTGTTACCACTCTACACGGGCAGGCAACTCTCTTCTGTACGTTCACTAAATTCCAGAATAATGCATCAGCAGCACTTATTTTATGACCTAATCAGAATTGTCAAATTCTCAAATACAAATAAATAAAATTTCTGAATCTAAAGATGAAATACATTTCAGTGTTAGAAGAAGCAGTGGAATAGCAAAAAAGCCATTTCTTTCTGTTTTGTTAAGTCTAGTAAACAAAAGCAGTAAGAGAATCAGATGGGTAGAAATCTAAATCATTAACATGTTCAATAGTATAAAATATAGCCCCTCAGTTGCAAGGATATTTCCTCGCCATTGAATTTGTTATTTTGCAAGTGACAAAATGTTTGCAAGAACTCACTTCTGACCCGTGCATCAATATCTGGCATGTTTCCACACACTTAAATGCTATGCTCTGAAAGATCTGTATACTACAAAATGACAGAAAATGTTGTTACAACTGAAGGAGAAAAGGTTATTGAAATTCCATGCTTAAATATGGCACTTTCACATTAGATTCAAAATTCTGCACCTAGCCATCACCCTTTCGAGATTATTCCATACCCAGAAAAAAATATCACACACACTTACTTTGTGACAGCTACACTAATGAGGGAAGTTGTTGGAGCTCCTTTCCTTGAGAGGGTTAAAAAAAAAAAAAGAAAGCAACTTAAGTTGGTAGAAATCATAAATACCTTTTATCATCAAGCAGAAGCAAAAGTCTGTGTCAGAAAAGGTTCTGTCTCCAAGTAGACAACTGAAACGAGTAACTGAAACAGAAATCTACCTTTCAGCTTGGAGTCTCTGGGACCAAGGCAACAACAGAACTTTCCTAAATGTCAAAGTGGCACCAAGCAATTTTGGACCCACTTACTGCACTGACCACAGGAACTGTCACATTAACCTCTGCCCATCACGAGAACTGAGTGGACTGGAAATCCATCAGCATGAACTTTCCTTGGAAGGCTCAGAGCTGAGGAAAACTGTACAACTAACGCTTTTGGATTCGGATGTTGGAAAGCAAGGGCTCCTTTGGCAACATCAGATCATTACATCAGATCATTAATCCTCCCAACGATGCCTTGTTTTTAGTAGACAGTCTTACAGACATTCAACTGAACACAACCTTAAGATCAGCACATGACTAGTGGGACAGATGCAAATGGGTAGAGACAACCCTTGATCTTCCTGTGTGAAGTTCTTACACAGACATGAAAACGAAAAGCAAGCAACTGCTAGCCAAAAAAAAGCAAGCTGCACAATATGTATAAATGTGTCACGTAAATATTAAAAACATGAAAAGTAGAATTATGTATTATTTATGGACACATATACACATGTAGCAAAAATGTGGAGACATTCATGGGAATAACAAAAACCAGTATCAGGGTAATTTTACCACAAGGGGAAACAGAACAAGGAAATGGGATTGGGAATGGGGAGAGGGAGGGGACGTTTTGCCTGTATCTGTAATGATTTTTTTCTTTGGACATATCTGAAGTAAATAAAGTAAAAAAGTTATTTGTTTAAGGCAGGTTATAGGTACACAGGTAGTCATTATATTATTCTCCATACTTTCTATGTATTTGAAACATTTCATAACAAACTTTAAAAAATAAATAAAAACAAGCAACCATTTTGTCATCTATAAAATACAGACATCTTCCCAGCTATGTTTCACTGTCGCATATTTTATAAATACGTAAAATTTAATGCACTGATGGGAACATTGCCCAGTGCCTCGGAATCACTTGGAATTCCCTATCAAATTTTTACGGAAGGAAAAAAAGTGAAATTTTAAGAAGAAGGTTGCAACTTATCACAAGTTCTGTTTTTCTTCTTGTTGTTTAGTTGGTATTCTGTTTGGAGTTTGTGGTTTAAGTATATCTGCTCTTTGTTCCCAGTTTTTGGCACAGAGCATCAAACCCCCTGGAATTTCCTGAGTGACAGAAATGTCTTTGTTATGCTACCAAGGTGACTTGGGAGGGACAGAGAGAGGGAGAGGGGAAAGAGCTGCAGGACAGGGGCTGGTCCCTGGTCACACACAAAAAAATCAACCAAGTGACTTGGAGGATTGGAACTTTCAGCCCTCCTTTCCCCTAACCTCTGGGGAGCAGGGCTGAGGCTGAGTTCAATCACATATCTGCGGATTTAATCAATCATGCCTGACTTGAAAATGAAACCCCCAAAAAACTGGGCCCAGCAGCTCAGTGGAGTCTCCTGGTTGGGAGGGTGACATACCCAAACTTCACCAGAAGGGGGCATGGAAGCTCTGCATCTGGAACCTTCCTAGACTTTGCCCTATGTCTATCTTTTATAAAAACCTGTAATCCTCAAGTATAGCACTTGAGTTCTGCAGGTCATTCCAGTAAACTGAGGACTCATGGGAACCTCCAAATCTGCAAGTGGCTGGTCAGAACTGCAGATGCCCTGGGGACCTGGGGACACCTGTGGATGGCATCTCAAGTGGGAGCCATCTTATGGAGGAAGACTGAGCCCTTGAACCTGCGGAGCTGACACTAACTCCAGGCAGTGAGGGTCAGAACTGAATTACAGTACACATGGCTGTGATAGTAACATCTGGGAGGAATAGGACAAGGCTGTTCCAAAAAAATAAGTAAAAAATATATATCTACCAATGGTAAAGCAGGTAATAATTTAAAATCAGCATTTCACAACTAGCATATATGGCTTAATATGTTAACTGAAAGAGTAGAGGAGTAGAAAACATTTCTATGGAAGTTCCTCAAAAAGGAACTGGGTCTTCCTCCTTATAAGACCCAGTAACTCCATTCCTAGGAATTTACCCAAAGAAAAAAAATTTGATTTGAAAAGACATATGCCCCCCTATGTTTATCACCACGTTATTTATAATAGCCAAGATATGGAAGCAACCTAAGTCTCCCTCAACAGATGAACAGATGATAAGGAAATGTGGTACATATACACATGGAATATTATTCATCCATAAAAAAGAAAAATCCTGCCATTTTGACAAGGATGGACCAACAGGCTATTATGCTAAGTGAAATAAGCCAGACAAAGACAAATGCCATATAATTCCACTTATTTGTGGAATCTAAAAACAAAACAGCAGTAGATTCATAGACACTGTGAATGACTGTTGGTTACCATGGGAGAGGTTTTGGGTTGGGTGGTGGGGTGAGTGAAGGGGAAAAAAGAGGCACAAAAATCTCAATCATAATATAAGTTGGTCATGGGGATATTAGCACACCAGAGAATATAGTCAATGACCAGACAGTAGCTGCACTGGTGGAGGTGAGAATTCAATAGTATGCGTAACTGCTGAACTACTGGTGTTGTATGCTTGAAACCAATGTAACACTGTGCACCAACTACACTTCAACAAAAAAATTAAAATTAAAAATAAAATGTATCCAAATAAAAAAAAAAAGAAAACCTTTCAATACTTTTAAATACTTTTAGTAATACCTGAAAATGGCTACCTTTTTATCATACTACTGGATAAGGAAGTGAATAGAACGTCTTACCAGAGGCAGACATTCCCACAGATCATCGCAATGGCATTATTCCAGCCATACACAGCCACAGGGAAGTTAAATGCAGTGATAATTCCAACCAAACCTACAGGATTCCACTGTTCAATGAGCGCATGGCCAGGTCCTGTGAATGGGGGAAGGCGTGAACATGCTTAAGCATGCTAAGTTCATGCATGTCGAATTAATTAAGAACAAAGTCTGAAATCTTTCCATTTCAGAACAAAGGTGCCTCAGACCCAGTATGAATTCCAGACACCCTGTAGACCACTGTACATGGCTGGGAGATATTGGTGCATTAATTAGCATACAACACAAGGTGTCTTTATGACACCTCCTTATAAACCACAGTGATACCCACCCCACTATGCCTCTGGTCCTCATAGAACTCTGACAGACAGATATTTGCCTGCACATGAATAAAATCTCTAAAAAGATTTAAAAGAAACCAGCAACACTCACTCCTTCCATAGGGCCACTATGGAGTATCAAATAGGTAGAGGGGAAACTTTGCATCCTTTATTTTTTCATTCCTTTTTAATTTTGTGGTAAGAACATCTCACCTCTTCAAAATAAACATTAAAATAATTTAAAAAGTAAATACAACTTTCCCATAAAAGTGTGGGACAGGGGAAGGTAATCTTCATACACATGACTTTTAATACATGCTAATAATGAACAACTCAAATTAGCTTAATCTTTGCCATATGATTTGACCATTTGGGTCACTTATTTCCTATGGATACCATAATAAGCATCTTTACATATAAAGCTTTGTTAAAATTAGATTCTTAAAACTGGTATTAAACATTTAATGCTCTTTGGATATATTTCCAAGTGGTTTTCCAGATGGACCAATTACATTGCAAAAGTCCCCATAATAAAAGTGTTTTTCTCACCTATGGCCTTGCCAACATTGAGTTTTCTCTTTAAAAATGAAACTTTCAAAGTGTCTCAACCTGATGTTTTCACCTGTGTGAATCTGCATTTCTCAGTAGGAAGATGAAAAGGTATCTTTGTGTATTTATGTGCTACTTGACAGTCCTCTTTTGTAAACTTTCATAGCCAGAGCATTTTTTCAGAGCTCTGTATCAGAGTAGAAAACTCTTAGCTTACTGTCTTCATTGCTTACTTTCAGAAGGCAAGATGGGTCCGCCAATCATCCGCGATAAGCCAACAGCATAATCACAAATATCCACGTACTCTTGAACTTCTCCCACGCCTTCCACTAAGATTTTCCCCATCTCCAAAGACACCTAAAAATACAAAAGTCAAGCGGTATTTGTCCAGCAGATTTCACATTTTAAACATCAAGTTTATGGAGAGGAAAGGCAAAATATTTTGTCTGTTTTGTGAAGATAATAAACTTCAGAAACACTTCTGATTTTTCTGAAGATTAAAACCTAAGAATTATCTTCACTCTTTCCCTGTTAATATTATTAATCTTTCCTCTAAAGAGAATATTTTTGAAATGTATAAGTTGCTTTTCTTAAAAAAATCACTACCTTATACACAGAAATGCCTGACAGCCTTATTCCCCACTCAAAGGATATGTTTACTACAAAACTACTTTACCAAGCTTCCCAGCACATGGATCTTCTCCCGCAAGGCATCGCCAATCTGTCTCACAACTTCTCCTCGCTTGGGAGCAGGAATCTAAGGAAAGGATGGGATCTTAATGTCTGCTGCAAAGTGTAAACCTGTGTCCAAACACAGACTTAGATAAAAGTGCTCTAAGAGAACAAAGTACAAGCATATCAAGGGCAACCTTTTAAGTCACATCAAGACTATGACATGATAGGCCCTAAAATCCACACCAGAGACCCAACAAACACCTAAATGATAGATTCTTAGTGAACAAGGGACTGTGCCAAGCACAGAGACTTGTTTCAAAAACTGAAACAACCTTTGGGGATGACTCCAGAAAACTTAAAATGTTTTAGATACCTCTAAGTTTTTATGATTCCCAGTGAAATTTTCTTATGGGTGAAAAAAATCTGATTGCATGCCTAAGCTTACTTACAAACTGGTATTTCATAACCAATCAAATTACACCATTCACTTGCCAGATATTATCTTAGCACCTAGTACATGACTACCATGCTAGGCCCTGGAGCTAAAATAAGTGAGGCATTCATGGAGCTAGTATTACAAAAAAAAAAAAAGGCAACAAATCAGTCCACAAGGGCTGAAAAGACCAAAAAAATAGACTTGTAAAATAAATGGGTGAATTAAATTATCTAAAAAATTATCAGGCAAAATCTCCAAGTAGGGGAGAATGAAGCTGAAACCCAAGTTTGGTTGATATGGCTGGCAAAAGATAACCCTAGGAACATTCTTCCCAAGGAAAAGAAAAAATAATTCAGTGACCTGTGGAAAACAAAAGCTTGTATTTCAGGGACTGACTGGGAAGGCCGCATGCCTGAAGCTGGAAGCTTTTAAGGGGTCCAAATCCTACTCCAGGTGCACTGGAAGTCCTTCACAGTGTTTAAGGAGCAGAGTAAGTTATCTGCTTTGCCTTTTAACATCGCTGTTGGATGAGTGGACAATAAATTGGAGGGGAAAAGAGTAGAAGCAGGGAAACTAATTAAGAATGTATTCTAGTAGCCTAGGCAAGAGAGCATGGTGACTGAATCTTAAGATTGAACCAAGGGACTGATTAGGAGGAACCAAGATGGCAGCATGAGTAGGACAGCAGAAATCTCCTCCCAAAAACATAGATATTTTTGAAAATACAACAAATACAACTGTCAGTCCGGGGAAAGGAAATACCGGGGCAAAATACCCCTAAAAAACAAAATCAGTCAAAGGGAGAAATAAAGTTTAAAACCGGTTTATTGCTCACAAACTGCAGTCCCAGGCCGTCTTTCTTCTCTGCTCAAGCAGCAACCGCACCGGCCCTCCCCCTCACCTCTCAGGTACAGGTAAGCCCTCGGTTACCCAGGTAATTACCCAATGATATGGAGATGAACTTCTCCACCCGAGGAAACATGCAAATGCACTAAAGCCATACTTCTCTCCAACTCTGAAAGCCTGTTGATCAGAGCCAGGTGAGATATTCTGGAAATACTACAATTTCACCCACAACAACTATTCCTAAAAGAGACACCAGAAGACACAGGACAACAGCCAGGCTACACCAACACCTGCAAGAACCCAGCGCCTCATGAAGGGGGTAAGATACAAGCCACAGCCCGGCGGGACCCAAGCGCCACCCCTACCCCAGCTCCTCGTTGGGAGTAGAGAGTGGGGAACTCCAGGCACCATAACCCCCTGGGCAGCAGCGCAGCTCTGAGGCCCCTCACAGTCATAAACAGCCTCCCGCCCATTGCCCCTCCCGCACGGCCCCGCCATAGCAGATCAGCAGCCTGAGACCGGCAACGCCCACAGCAGCCGTGCAGAGCTTCCTCCACAGCCGCCGGGGCAAGAATCAGAGACCCCATCTGTGCGCAGCTGCCCGGCACAAGCCACTAGGGGTCACCATTCTCCCAGGAGAAGGTGAGGAGCAAGCGGGAAGGGACTTTGTTCTCCCAGCTGACACACATGCCAACTGCCCACAACAACCTCTATTGCCATGAAAAGGCAGAAGAATTTGATCCAGACCAGAAACACACAGACATCCTCCCCTGAGAGAGAACCTGGGGAGACAGACTTAACCGATCTTCCTGAAAAAGATTTCAAAATAAAGGTCTTAACCATGCTGATGGACTTGCAGAGAAATATGCAAGAGCTAAGGAGGGAGAATACAGAAATAAAACAATCTCTGGAAGGACTTAAAAGCAGAATGGACGAAATGCAAGAGGCCATTGATGGACTAGAAACCAGAGAACAGGAACGCAGAGAAGCTGATGCAGAGAGAGATAAAAGGATTTCCAGGAATGAAACAATATTAAGAGAACTGTGTGACCAATCCAAATGGAACAATATTTGCATTAGAGGGGTACCAGAAGAAGAACAGAGAGAAAAAGGGATAGAAAGTATCTTTGAAGAAATAATTGCTGAAAACTTACCCAAACTGGGGGAGGAAATAGCCCCTCAGACCACGGAAGCACACAGAATTCCCAACACAAGGGAACCAAGGAGGACAACACCAAGACACATAATAATAAAAATGGCAAAGATCAAAGACAAGGACAGAGTATTAAAGGCAGCCAGAAAGAGAAAAAAGCTCACCTACAAAGGAAAACCCATCAGGCTATCATCAGACTTCTCAACGGAAACCTTATAGGCCAGAAGAGAATGGAATGATATATTTAATGCAATGAAACAGAAGAGCCTTGAACCAAGAATACTGTATCCAGCACGATTATCATTTAAATATGAAGGAGGGATTAAACAATTTCCAGAGAAGCAAAAGTTGAGGTAATTTGCCTCCCACAAACCACCTCTACAGGATATATTAAAGGGACTGCTCTAGATGGAAGCACTCCTAAGGCAAAATAGATGTCACCAGAAAAAATAAAATCACAGCAAAGAAAGCAGAACAATCAAATATTAAATAAAGGCAAAACATAAAATCAACTACCCACAAAAACAGTCAAAGGAAACACAAAGAGCACAAAATAAAACACCTAACATATAAAGAATGGAGGAGGAGGAATAAGAAGGGAGAGAAATAAAGAATCATCAGACTGTGTTTATGATAACTCAATAAGCGAGTTAAGTCAGACAGTAAGACAGTAAAGAAGCTAACCTTGAACCTTTGGTAACCAAAAACCTAAAGCCTGCAATGGCAATAAGTACATATCTTTCAATAATCGACCTAAATGTAAATGGACTGAATGCACCAATCAAAAGACAGAGTAACAGAATGGATAAAAAAGCAAGACCCATCTATATGCTTCTTTCAAGAGACTCACCTCAAACCCAAAGACATGCACAGACTATAAGTCAAGGGATGGAAAAGATATTTCATGCAAACAATAGGTAGAAAAAGGCAGGTGTTGCAGTACTAGTATCAGACAAAATAGACTTCAAAACAAAGAAAGTCACAAGAGATAAAGAAGGACATTATACAATGATAAAGGATTCAATCCAACAAGAAGATATAACCATTATAAACATATATGCACCCAATACAGGAGCGCCAACATATGTGTAACAAATACTAACAAAATTAAAGAAGGAAATAGAATGCAATGCATTTATTTTAGGAGATTTCAACACCCCACTCACTCCAAAGGGCAGATCCACCAGATAGAAAATAAGTAAGGAAACAGAGGCACTGAACAACACACTAGAACAGATGGACCTAATAGACATCTATAGAACTCTACACCCAAAAGCAATAGGATACACATTCTTCTCATGTGCACATGGAACATTGTGCAGAATAGACTACATACTAGGCCACAAAAAGAGCCTCAGTAAATTCCAAAAGATTGAAATTCTACCAACCAACTTTTCAGACCACAAAGGTATAAAACTAGAAATAAATTGTACAAAGAAAGCAAAAAGGCTCACAAACACATGGAGGCTTAACAACATGCTCCTAAATAATCAATGGATCAATGACCAAATCAAAAAAGAGATCAAGCAATATATGGAAACAGATGACAACACAAAGCAACAACTTCTGTTGGACGCAGTAGAAGCAGTTCTAAGAGGGAAAGTATATAGCAATCCAGGCATATTTAAAGAAGGAAGAACAATCCCAAATAAACAGGCTAAAGACATAATTCTCGAAATAGGAAAAAGAAGAACAAATGAGGCCTAAAGTCAGCAGAAGGGACATAATAAAGATCAGAGAAGTAATAAATAAAACTGAGAAGAATAAAACAATAGAAAAAAAATCAAAGAAACCAAGAGCTGGTTCTTCGAGAAAATAAACAAAATAGATAAGCCCCTAGCCAGACTTATAAAAACAAAAAGAGAATCTACACACATCAACAGAATCAGAAATGAGAAAGGAAAAATCACAACGGACCCCACAGAAATACCAAGAATTATTAGAGAATACTACAAAAAACTATATGCTAACAAGCTGGAAAACCTAGAAGACATGGACAACTTCCTAGAAAAATACAACCTTCCAAGAATGACCAAGGAAGAAACAGAAAATCTAAACAGACCAATTACAGCAACAAAACTGAACTGGTAATCAAAAAACTACCCAAGAGCAAAACTCCTGGGCCAGATGGATTTACCACGGAGTTTTATCAGACATACAGAGAAGACATAATCCCATGCTCCTTAAAGTTTTCCAAAAAATAGAAGAGGGAATACTTCCAGACTCATTCTGAAGCCAGCATCATCCTAATACCAAAACCAGGCA